GGGGGGGGGGGGGGGGGGGGGGGGGGGGGGGGGGGGGGGGGGCTTCTTAAGTGCTACAGAACCGCCTCGTCAGTTTCCTTCCGCTCGGCCGTCTCCGTTGCTTCCTCCAGGGAGGGGGCCGAGAGACGCAGGTCCAAAAAAATCCCCCCCCCCCGGCTGTCAGTCTCACGCATACGCCCGGTTGACCGGACGAACCGCAAATTTGCACACCCTTGCTGCCAGGGGGTGGGGGTGTGTGTGTGAAAGGGTTGTTGGTTGGTTGGGGTGGGGGGAATGTGGGGTGGGGGGAGAAAAACACGACGATGCTTGCGGGGTTCACTTCCTGCTGCCGCTGCTGCTGCTGCAGCTCTCAGGGAGGAGGAGGGTGCGACGTCGCAGCTTTCTTCCGGAGCCTTCCTCCAACAGGTAGGTGACATCGATGGCTGCACGGAAAGGGGTGGGGTGGGGTCGGGGGGAGAGAGAGAGAGAGAGAAAGGGAGACAAGAGGGGAAAGGTTAAAAGGAGAGGTTTTGCAAGGCGGTTGGGACGAACAGCACAAAAGTTTATGTGTTGTTTTATTTTTGGTTTGGCGGGTGGAAATACACCAAGGGCTACACTGGGTGGGGGGTGGGGGAAGAAGGGGGGAGGCATTTCTGGGAGGTATTTTTGGAGCAGGGACTCTTCCAAAATACAGAATGGACACAGCTGGAAGGGGACCTCAAGAGGTCTTCTAGTCCAACCCCCCCCTCCTCAGAAGACAGAATGACCCAGTTGGAAGGGACCTTGGAGGTCGTCTAGTCCAACCCCCTAGCGGGAGACCCTACCCCATTCTAGACAAATGGCTGTCCAGTGTCTTCTTAAATAACCCGTGGTGGGGAGAAGGAAGGGAAGGAGGGGAGGGATGGAAGAAAAGGAAGGATGGAAAGGAAGGAAAGAAGGGGTTGGAGGAAGGAAGGAGGGGAAGGATGGAGGAAAAGAAAGAAAGGAGGAATATACAGATACAGAGGAAGGGAGGAAGGGAGGAATAAATAGATGGAAATGGCAGGAATGAAGGAAGGAATATACAGATGCAGAGGAAGGGAGAAAGGAGAGAGGAATGAAGGAAGGGAAAGAGGAGAAGGATGGAGGAAAAAGAAGGAAGAAATATACAGATGTAAAGGAAGGGAGGAAGGAAGGAAGGATACAGAGGAAGGGAGGAAGGAAGGAGAGAGGAATGAATGAAGGAATGAAGGAATGAATGAATGAATGAATGAAGGAAGGAAGGAAGGGAGGGATGGAAAGGAAGGAAAGAAGCAGTTGGAGGAAGGAAGGAGGGGAGGGATGGAGGAAAAGTAAGTAAGTAAGGAAGGAATATAGATACAAAGGGAGGGAGGGAGGAAGGAAGGAGGAAAAGGAAGGAAGGAATATACAGATATAAAGGAAGGGAGGGAGGAAGGGAGGGACACATGTTACAGAGGGAGGAATGAAGGAAGGAAGGAATGAAGAAAGGAAGGAAGGGGAGGAGGGGAGGGATGGAAAGGAAGGAAAGAAGTAGTTGGAGGAAGGAAGGAGGGGAGGAAAAGTAAGTAAGTAAGGAATATACGGAAGGAAGGAAGGAAGGAAGGAAGGAAGGAAGGAAGGAAGGAAGGAAGGGAGGGAGGGAGGGAGGGTGGGTGGGTTCCAGGGAAACTCACCGTTTTTTCCTGGGATCCTCTCTAAGAGGGTGAGGAGTATTTGGTTCAGCCGCTCCCGCTGCAGGTGCCGGCGTTCTTCCGGGCTGCAGGGCTCCCTGGGCTCCGGGCTGCTCTCCTCGGCCTTTTTATCCAGCTCGACGTTCTCCAGGGGAGGCGCCTCTTTCTCGGGCTCCTCGGGGTGGGCCGGCGGCTCTCCCGGAGGGGGCTCGGGGTGGGCGATCCCCTCTTCCGGAAGCGGGACAGGCTCCTCCTCCTGAGGCAGGTCCTTCGTTTGGGGCTTGGCGCGATCGGACTTCCAAGAGGACCTGAGAAGGGAGAGGGAAATGGGTTCATATTGACGACGGCCCCGGGGGTCACCTGATCCCCTTTTGCGACCTTCCGACAAAGCAAGAGCCAAAGTGGGGGGTGGGGGGTGGGGCAGCCGGATTCGCTTCACGATCAGGTTACTGCTGACTTTATCAACGGCGGGGGATTCCCTGAACAGCCCTGCTGAGGAAGGTCATCGTGGAACGGAGGGGCATAAACCCGTGTCTCACTTAGCGACAGGGCTCAAGGAGAAGCTGTAACTCGAGGGGCTACCTGGGTCAACGGAATCTGAATTTGACCGCTTTGTGGGAGTGAGATGGGCAGGAAGGAGAGGTGGTACGAAGACAGGCAGCCTGTCGTAAAAGAATATTATACTGCAGAAAAAAACCCAACGGCTACCACCCTCCTGCCTTCCATGGAGGACCTGTACACTGCAGGGGTCTAAAAGGGGGCTGTGAAAATATCTACGGACCCCTCACACATCCTGGACATAAACTGTTTCAACTCCCACCCTCAAAGCGACGCTATAGAGCCCTGCACACCAGAACAACTAGACACAAGGGGAGTTTTTGCCTGAACACCATCACTCTGCTAAACAACTCATTCCCACAACATTATTCCAACTATTTACTAAGTCTGCATTACTATCCTTCTTCTCATCCTTCCTATTATCTATCTCTTCCCACTTATAACTATAACCTTGTTGCTTGTATCTCTACAATTAATATTGTTTTTATTTGTTCCCTAGTAGGATTTGATTGCTTATTAGTAACCTATGACTATCACTAACTGTTGCATCTTATGATTCTTGATGAATGTATTTTATTTTTTCTTTATGTACACTGAGAGCTTATGCACCAAAGACAAATTCCTTGTGTGTCCAATCACACTTGGCCAATAAAGTATCCTATTCTATTCTGTCCTGTCCTATCCTATCCCTTATTCTCTTCTCTTTTCTCTTCCCTATCCTATCCCTTATTCTATTCTATCCCTTATTCTACCCTCTCCTATTCTATTCTATCCTATTCTCTATTCTATTCCATTCCATTCTTTCCTTATTCTATTCTATTCTATTCCTTATTCTATTCTTTATTCTGTTCTATTCTATTCTATTCCATTCCATTCTTATTGTGCCCTATGACTATTATTAAGTGTTGTACCTTATGATTCTTGACTAATGTATCTTTTCTTTTATGTGCACTGAGAGCATTTGCACCGAGACAAATTCCTTGTGTGTCCAATCACACTTGGCCAATAAAAGAATTACTATTCTATTCTATTCTATTCTATTCTATTCTAATTCTAATTCTAATTCTTATTTCTTATTCTATTCCACTCTTCTATTATGAACTGTGAGAATAACCTTGGGAGATGGGAGGAAGAGCTGCAGCCTAGACCAGGGCCAGAGAAGAAAAACCAGGCTCCAAAGGTGGGGAAAGCAGGTCAGAATTCCGTTTCCTGGCCTGGACTACCTCAAAGGGCTGTGGTGAAGATGTTTCCACGCAACCCTCAAGGGGACTCACCTGCCTCCGTTCCTCTTGTAGTTGTCTGGTACGTAATGAGGCTAAAATGGGGGAAGAAAAAGAAAAAAGAAAAGCCAATTAGAGTCAACGTCCAGGGTGCCTCGAGGCCCAGCCATCAAAGAGAGGTCATCCCAAGGAGGGAGAGGCTGGGGAAACTGAGGCAGGGAAAAGGCCTGGTGGCAGACTGTTCGGCGTTAACTACCAACCCCAGTATATCCAAAGGTTGAAAGTCCCGATGAAAAAGGAAGAAATTTATAGGGCGCAGGCAGTCCTTGACTTACAATGAGCCACCGTTCTAAGTTATGACAGCGTTGGGGGAAAAAAAAGCAACTCGTGCCCGCTTTTCACACTTAACGACCGTTGTAGCCTGTGATTTACAGCAGCTGGCTCAGATTTAGAATGGTCGCAGCATCTGTGTGTGTGTGTGTGTGTGAGAGAGAGAGAGAGAGAGAGATACCATGCGATCTCCTGTTGCAATCTTCCGACCAAGGGGGAAAAGCCAGATTCACTTTACTGACCGGGTGGCTAATTTAACGACGGCAGTCGATTCGCTGAATGAATCATGGCAAGGAAAGCCATAGAAAACTGGGCGTGTGTGTGTGTGTGTGTGTGTGTGTGTGCCAAACTCACTTTGCTGCCCTACATTTGGGGCTACCAAATGGGGCCGTTGAGCAGAGCAGCGCCTGCCTCGTCCTAGGGGACTGGAGACTAAAACATAGGAAGAACGGTTGCAGGAACTGGGCTTGGCTAGGGAAGAGAAGGACCAGGGGAGACAGGATAGCAGCCTTCCAATATTTGAGGGGCTGCCCCAGAGAGGAGGAAGTGGGGTCAAGCTATTTTCCAAAGCGCCCGAAGGCAACACAAGGAACAATGGATGGAAACTGAACAAGGAGAGATTCAACCTGGAAATAAGGAGGAATTTTCTGACAGTGAGAACAATCAACCCATGGAACAGAAGTTGCCTTCGGAAGTTGTGGGAGCTTCATCCCTGGAGGCTTTCAGGAAGAGACTGGACCTGCCACTTGTCAGTTAATGGTGTAGGGTCTCCTGCTTGGGCAGGGGGTGGGACTAGATGACCTACAAGGTCCCTTCCCACTCTTGATGATCTGTTATCTGCCTGAATTGAACTGAGGGAGACAGTCGCGGGGTTACCGCCAGGACGGCAAGTGGGCTTACCGAGAAATCTCTTTTCGGCGCCAGCCGTTTCGGGAAGTGGTCGAAGGCGTAGGATTTGGTGCAGACCGGATAGCGGTTGCGGTGGATCTTGTAAAAGAGGTGGGCCGACTTGTCCAGCCGGTAGTCGCAGATGTATACGTCCGGCTCCTTCGCTCCTTTGGGTCTTCCTGCCGGGGGGGAAGAGGCGGAGGGAGGGTGAGAAGGGAGGAAAAGGGACGAGGGGAGAAGTTCTCAAGGTCATTCTCAGCCCCAAAGGCCACCGGCCCTTTCTTCAACTGGGGGGGGGTGGGGTGGGGGGGGGGGCGGGTGGGAAGGAAGCCGCTTCCGGGATCCGGGCCGACTTGCCTTTGCAGTAGGTGTAGAGATCCAGCACGCAGCAGATCCCTACCACCGCCTCCAGAGGGATGATCTCGTAGAGCGGCACCCGGAAGAGTTCGTTGTGGTAGAACTTGCGGGAGGGCGAGTGGTGGGTTTCGTGCGGGCGGAAGTAGTGGTGGCCGAAGGCGAAGCGTTCCCCCCTGCGGGAAGGAGACAAGCAGAGGGAGTGTGTCCCCCCCGCTACATAAAGCCGCTGGGCTCAAAGAGGAGGCGGAGGCGGCTCTTTGATACTGACTTGGGCTTTAAGAGGGATGGATTTCATTTCTCAGACATCATACTTTAAGCAGTGCGGACTTCAAGTCTGTTAAGGTATTGAGATTTAAGAGCTGACCAGCAGCTGTAAAGCTGATGCAATGAGGATGAATCAGCATTGGTATTGCCTTTTTAAGACTATGTATGGGTCCACAGAAGCCTTTACCACTTTAAGAGGTGTTTTTACATAAAGGCAGCCATTAGAGGGTGTGTTTCTCTCTCATTGGGTCCTGTCTCCATTGTAGAGTTCTCTGTGCAGAGTTAAGATTGACTGCTTGTCAGGTATTTGCCTACCACGTATATTTCTATATATAACTGTCTTGTATATAAACCACTGTTAACTGTCCAAGCCTCTTTGTGCTGTGTTTTGCTCCTGGGTTGTCTCACAATAGTAGTCATGCTGCACACGCTCTGATAAAAAGTCCTGGAATTCCATTCTTAAAACTTTCAAGCGTGAGAAACGCTGCTCTAAGGAAGCTTCTTGGATGAGAAGCAAAACAACTGGACACAGAGATAGTTTTTTTTTCTTTCTGCTGAACATCTAATTCCCACAGCCCTACGTTAGGACTAAAGATATTTACCCCATGTAGCAGGGCTGTATTGCTATTATCCTTCCCATCTACCTATGTGGGGGACAATTTTTTATATCTTCAGGAACTTGTGATCTACCGGCCCAAAGAATCAGTGAAAATCCTTCCAAGGTTTGCCATGGAATTCATGGCGTCCTCCGCAGCCATTTCCAAGCAGGGCTGAGAAGTGAAAAGAACTTATTTTTTTTCCCCACGGGAGGAAGAAGACGTGAAAAAACTCACTTCTCATTTTTCCACAGCTTCTCAATCCGGAAGATATCCAGCCTCTCGCGGTTGATGTGGGACAGCAGGCGGTACGACTGCCGGACTGGGTGGCCATCGGGAGTCCTTCGGCTGTCTCGCATCAGGTACACGCAGTCTCCTGCAAGTGGGAAGGCAGAGGAGGGCCTCAAATACACCAGCAGGGGCCATAAGGGGGGAAAAAGGGGGGGGGAACCCCAGGAAAAGAACGAGAAACGACTCCAATGGAATTTTGAATATCCCAAAAGCTATTTATGGTGGTGACTGCCTTCCCCACATGGCACCTTTGGGGGCTTAACGTGGAGATGCAACTGACTTTTTAAGGCAGGGGTGGGCAAACTTTTTGGCTCGTGGGCCTCATTGACTTTTAAAATTTGACAGACGGGCCGGGTCAGCACAAGATACGATACATATAAAAAACTGCAAAATCTCCGCAAAATCAAGTCACTGCGCCTAATGCGCCGCCTGGTGTCGAAATGCCTGTCATTACAAGTCAAAGTCAAATGAATGCAATCATTCCATCATTCACATCAAACCTTAATTCTGTACCGATCTTCGGCGGGCCGGATTAAAAAGACCAACGGGCCGGATGTGGCCCGCGGGCCGTAGTTTGCCCACCCCCCTGTTTTAAGGGGCGGTTTTCCCAGAACAGAAGGGGAAATAAGAAGGACGCATCGGAGAAAAAGCACATAACGGAAAGGAACAGTCAAAAGGAGAACGAGGATTACATAGGGTAAACCCTGGGGAAAATATGAATGCTACCACCGGATGAGGTTGTAAGTAGGAAAATTTGGGACTGTGCTGAAATGGATAGATTAACTAAAGATGATCCAGAATGATGAAGACAACGTAGCTGGCACCCTCTCAATGCCCAGGCCAGGCCGGGGGGGTTTGAGTCAAGCTTCTGATTTGACCTGTGCTAGGACACCCTCACCAGTGAGCGAAATCAGAACACGGGGGACCCCGGAGAGGAGGGCGAGAGCTACCCCATAGCTCTCCTGGCTGCCTGTCACTCCCCCCAGGGGCAGAACACCCACCTTGGCGGAGCAGGAGATCGTCTCGCAACAGACAGATGAAGTAAACGCAGCCAGGTTGGGTGTAATGAGGCCGGGGAATCATCGGTACCTCCTAAAGGAGGACGAGAGAAATAGGAGGAAGGGGAAAATAATAATAATAATAATAATAATAATAATAATAATAATAATAATAA